TTTTTCTGTATTATTAATGTTTGGAATTCGCATGCAGAAACACACTGAGAATTCTTTGCAATATGAGGTGTGTCCACTCACTTTATTTCACTTCCTCTTCGTCCCAGCACCATAGCGCAGACTCCTATTAAGTATTTTCCGCAACGCTGGTAAATTAACGTGGGCAGTTCGCAATTTCATCGACCCTAGGAAAAACATATACAGTTAGGAGTAAATACCCACACATAATTCTGGAGAATGCTGCAGCGTCGTAGAAAGCGAATGGCAATTTCACCAGGCCCCATGCAAACANACAAACTATTTTCGTAATATTACAGTATTATTTCTTTCATTTTCCCTCTTAACCCTGTACCAAATCTCTTCCTTGTTGTTTGTGTTGTTTTTCTGTATTATTAATGTTTGGAATTCGCATGCAGAAACACACTGAGAATTCTTTGCAATATGAGGTGTGTCCACTCACTTTATTTCACTCCCCTCTTCGCCCCAGCACCATAGCGCAGACTCCTATTAAGTATTTTCCGCAACGCTGGTAAATTAACGTGGAGAGTTCACAATTTCATCGACCCTAGGAAATATATATACAGTTAGGAGTAAATACCCACACATAATTCTGGAGAATGCTGCAGCGTCGTAGAAAGAGAATGGCAATTTCACCAGGCCCCATGCAAACACTAGAATTGCACCACCTTTTCTGTGACACCTTGTAGGTGAAAGAAAGAAGAATAATCTTGGCCTTACTTCACCTATGAGAGAGAAAAGAAGAAAACAAAGAAAACAGTTTATTTTACCTCTACTACTAGTAACCCCGTATCATATAAAAATATAAACAAATATAAATCGAGATTTTACCATACAGTTATTTATTAAAGAGTCCCAAAACTGACGAAAAGGAAGTGCTGAGAAGCCCTTTTATCCCGCCTCCCGCTCGGGGCGGAGAGGGTTGGGTTGGGTGGGCTTTTCAGAAAACTTACTATTGACTCGCTGTTAGGAATGAAAAGAAGTAAAAATTATTCCTAAAAGTTAATAACACATACCAGATATAAAAGTCAGTAAGGCTTGATCATTCTTTTCGCAAGCTATCAGAAAAAAAAAAGACACCACAAGAAACAAAACGCTCTTGTAGTGGGAAATACGGCATCCTTGTTAAACAAAGGAAGAGGATATATATATATATAACGTCTTTTACCAACTTACTTCATTCTTTATTTTTCTTCCCCTGGTTATTTTCAGAGTGTATAAATTAAAACATTGGGAATGGGTGAATTTATCCATCACCCAGCAATTTTTCACGGTCTT